AAGATAAGATAAGATAAGATAAGATAAGATAAGATAAGATAAGATAAGATAAGATAAGAAAAATTTCATTGTCCTGAGGTAAATTTGTCTTGGGTACAGAACCTGACTGCTACACAGTTCAAACAACCCACGACACAGTCACATTACATTCTCGCATAAAACACACATTTAGAATAACACATTTCAAGAGAAATAGTACATAAAAGAAGTATGTCAGTACAATTTAAAAATCATAAACATCATTGCTTAAAATCACAATTCATGGGTAGTGTTTGTTACAGTTTATGCCTTTAATAGAAAGTGGAACAAATGAGTTCTTGTAGCGGTTCAATCTACATGTGGGAACTCTGAGACACTGACCTGAAGGAAGAAACTGGTAGCCTACTCTGGATAAAGAATATGAGTGGAGTCTGAGATGATTTTCTGGGCCTGTTTGGTTTTAGTTTCATTGAAAATGGTCTGAAGTGAGGGTGCTGCTTGATCCCCATCAACTTCATAGCTTTTTGTGTAAGGCAACCAACGATGCCGTGGCTCTTGATACATCACAAAGACTTGCTGTCTTGGTCACAGATGCACCAGACGTGCACCAACAATTTGTCCTCTTTTAAACTAGAGGACAAAAAGATGTGTGCATTGCAATATTTTGAGCAAAACTGTGCTCTTACCCTGCTAATTGAACCTTCACACTCTGCTCTTACTGGTGCAATGTGCAATTAATGAAGATTGGCCACCAGGCTGGTCCAATTTAGCCATGAAACCTCCCACACTAAGATGACAGGTTTCATTGTCTAACACAAGGGCGGTTCTAGGGGTGTGGCCACAGGGGCGTTGGCCCCAGCTGAAATCTGATTGGCCCCCTGAAGTGCCCCTGTCCTGTCACTCATCTGTCCTTTACCTGAGAGTGATGATGGTGGATGCAGTTCCATGTTCAAACACTAATGAGTTAAATAGTAAAGTCTAGAATGAATCAAGCTGACAGAATTCTTCTTCTCTTCTTAAGAAAATTTCAAAAATCCTGTAAAAAGTCTTTCATCTGACAAATGATGTTGGATTTTTTTCACACGTTATATGTTTGAAAATATTTTATCTATGTACAGTAAAATGAATGAAAAACTGGGAATTGACTGAGAATTTACTGTGCAACATTTTTTGGTACCACTTTACAAAAAGGCGCCCCTTATAGAAGGCTTATAAAGAGTTTATAGATAGGTTACTAATTAATCTTTAAAGCTTACACTTTATAAATCATTAATAAATGTTTATTATACAACAATTAAGGATGATAAAGACAAAACTGTCCGGTTTCTTACCAAATAGTGAGACAAATCTGTTCACGTACATATTACATCTAAAGGTGGTATGTTAAACACTTCAGACTAGGTTCATACATTGTAAGCACAATAACAATAAGAAACACATATTTTAATATATTAATATTGTACTGTATTACTGCATTATAAATATTCACAACTGTCAA